CCATTCTTGTCAAAGAATCCATCATTGTTAAGAGAGTGCCTTGGGAGAGCAAAGCAAAGTGAGCTCCCCAAAGAACTATCAGACTCCAAAAACCACCCCTGTTGCTTAGTATTCTTTCCTTAGGATACACTGTTAACTGGAAAGGTACATTTTTGCCAAAGTAAGTTTGAATGACAGTGATTGTTTCAGGTATGACAAGCATGTTCTCTAGGTCTAACAAATCCATAGACAAAAGTTTTACACAATTTCTTTCGTATATGTGTACATGTTGCTATAATATAGCATTGTATCGTATATCATTATAATACGAACGTCAATCATTTTATTTCAACTCAGGAAATTTTATACTTTTATTTTCTGTATTCTGTTAATAAAAGATGAATTTACATTCTAGCTTCTGAGTCCAGAATTTTTTTTACAGTATATATTTTTCTCCTTTATCAGTCATAGGAAGATTCTTATGTTTAATGAAATGCAAAAATAAATGGAGTTTTTATTTCTTTTGGAAGGGTTTAGGAGGTTACTGGGAATGGAATCCAAAGATATTCTATCACTGAGCTGTGTTATGTTATGTTATCAGCCCCCTTTTTTTTTTTTTTTTTTGACCCATGTTCTTTGCGAAGTTGCCCCACCTGCCACTCCGCTGTTGTCCTTCTGCCTCAGTCTTCAGAGTAGCTGGGATTAGAGGGATGCACCAGCAAACCTGATTTATTTCAAAGTTTTTGTATTATATTTTTATTTAATTACTATGCTCCAAAAGTCAGACCCCAGGGCCAGCCAGACAGCTCAGCGGACTAAAGTACCTGCTAAGGCATAGGACAGTGGCCAGGATTCCATCTACCTGGACACACTGAGACGGCCTTTGAGACTGGGCATAGTGGCACGCGCCTATAATCCCAATGCTTGGGAGGCTGCAAACAGGAGAATCACTCCAACTCTGATATATGTAGTGAAACCCTGTAGACCATCTACTAAATACATTAAAAAAAAAAAAAAAAAAAACTCCAGAATTCAGTGTATGTACATTTACTGGATGGTTGTGGACTTTAGCATACTTTTATAAAATAATTTTACCTTCATTATTGCAAATTAGCTAATGATAAAGAGTATTATTACCTTACTATATTGTTTTGGGTTTTTTTTTGTTTTTTTTTTTTTTTTGCGGAACCGGGTATTGAACTCAGACCCTTGCGCTTGCTAGGGAAGCACTTATTCCACTGAGCCATCTCTCCAGCCCCATATATTGTTTTTATGATATATAAAATTAAATATTTGTCAAAAGATGACCGCTTTTAGTAATCTGTCCCAAAACAGGCTGTGTAATTTTTCAGCACTTTTTATAACCTCCCTTCGAATACAAATTAACACATTTGTTTGAAGTGGAATACTAGGTTTCTTTTGGGCAAAACAATGACTTTCCTTCAGACATTGATTTGACAGTATGGTCTGGCTTTTCTGATTGGGTTATTTGACCAATCTTTACCCTAACTAAAAAAGATAAATCAGTAGCTCTAATTTTTTTTTAACACTGTTAGCGAAAATAAAAACATTTATAAAGGTAGAGAAGATAAAACAATGAATTTGTATGTAATATTTCTGTTACTCAGCCTGACCAACTATAAATTCATGACCACAAATTTTCTTCACACCTTTTTGTCATTTCATGACATCTTTAATCTACATATATCTCTAAAAGACAAGAATTTAAAAAGTTGTAACATTACATAGTTATACCATAATCCACTTATCAAATATAAAATGTTAAAGATAGTTTATTGTATTAAAATTTCAGGAAGAGTTTGATGAAAATACTCTTAACATGTATTTCCTTACTATTTTGCAGTTCGCCTTTCATGGACTCACTTTTGGCAAGTTTTCAAAAAATAATCTAAATTATTTATCACGGATTTTTCACTATATCACAGGATTTTGTAGTACCATACAGTATAAATATATTGTTAAAATTATGTACGTTTACAAGTTTAGAAAACAGGCTGGGCGTAGTGGCACATGCCTGTAATCCCAGCTCTTGGGAGGCTGAAAACAGGCAGATCACTGAGTCCGATCGAGTAGTGAGACCCTGAACACCCTTGTAGAACCTTCCCTAAAATACAAAA